GCTGTTAAAAATAAATAAAAAGCCAACAATAAAGAATTTAATATTATAATAAGCTTGAATAGCTTTCGCCTCACGGTGCGCAATGGCAAACGGTATATGTGCTGCCCAATCAACGAATACCGCTTTGCATGCTGCGACGACAGATGCTTATACCGTAACAGTGCAGCCGCATCCAAATATTTGGCCTACGCGTTGACAACAACAACGGCAGCGCAGCAGCGCAGTAGCGTAGCAGCGTAGCAGGTGTAGCGGCTCTCCTGCGTCGCGCCGCCGCAGCGGTCAACAGCAAAGCACGTCTCTGCAGCAGCAACCGGCATGATGCGCTTGCGCTCCGCACTCTGCACTCTCCTGCGCTCTCACGCTCTCGCGCTCTCTCTCTCTTTTAAGCGCTCGACGCAATGCTTGCTCTCTTCAGCGCGCTCTACCCGTGCCAGCTCTTGAGGCATGGGATATGACAGGCCAAGTGAGAAGATGAATTTCTATGATGAATTGCTAAGTAGCTGATCTGAATTATAATTATATAAATATAATTATAGTTGTTGAGTTGCTAATTTAATTAAAATCAATCAATTTACACTAAATTTGCCAATGTGTCTATTTGAGTTGTGCTTATGCTGCCCTGGCTAGGGTATCTGTGCAGCTGCTCTTAAAACGTTCTCATTGGTTCTGCTTTGACGTTTGGTGCTGCTGTCGACGCGTCGCTGCTACTGCGACGTACTGTGGCTGCTGTTGCTGCTGCTGCTGCTGCTGAGGTTGCCGTTGGCTGCGCTTAGTCTGCCGTTGTGCGTCGTTGACGTCGCCTCGACGTATTTTAGCTGTATTTGTGAACCGTTCTAAATTTAGTTGGGATACGCAGCGGCCGCGAGGGGCGCATTAAATGCCGACGCCGTCGTCGACGTCGACGTAAATTCTGTGTTCACTTCATTAAAATATCGTTTATTTTCGGTAATTCGCTTTTACATAACGCACACGCGTAAATTAATGTTCAAATTGGACTAGTTTTTTTGTTATTTATTTCATCTTTTTTTTTTTTTTTTTTTTTTTAATTATTGTGCCTGTGTCAAATGTGCGAAGAAACAACAACAAAACGCAGTGTGATCTAAATCTTAATTTATATTATTCATTTTCGCTTTGACTAATGGTTCCCGCACCTGTGACAGTCCGCGAAATCAATGGATTTTCAATAGAGCAAAACAGATTGCAAAACCCATGTCTTGTAGAGCCCATAACAATTGTTATTATCTATAGACGATAGGGACTGCTGCACATTACCGTTACAAGAACATTTGTATCGACAAATCAAAACATGTTCTCAGCTCTATAGATATAGCCCATAAATACCGCCCATGTTCGCCGACCTTCAGATCGCACAGAACTTGAGCTTGTGAGAGATGCGCAACAAAAACGAGAACAGAAGAAGAAGAAACAAAAAACATTGAACATATTTTGATGATGGTCAGACGTGTGACAAATTACAAGATCTGCATCTTGTGCAACTGCAACACATTTAGATACAAATGTATCTTTTAGTCGTTACGTGGCTTTTACGCACTGCACTTTCCGTGAGATGTTTTTGTGTTTCTTCTGCTTTTCTGTTTCGGCAGCCAAATGCATTTTATGATGATCCACATCTTTGATTTTCCAAATGAAAATCTAAACATTTCGGACTCTTGAAATTGTGCCAATTATTTTGTTTCACTTTCGGCCAAAATAGAACACAATAAAACGGTAGCAGTTTCATGGTATTTGGACGCTCTATCTCACATAGTTCTTATTTTCATGGATATAGATATAGATATAAATGTATATGTATGTATGTATGTTTTTGTTGTGCCCTGTGCCATCATTTCGCTGTCGACCCTATTTAGCATAAGCCGTGAGGCCCTTCGAGTCTGTTCTAGTCATCAATTTATGTAGCGCCGTAACCGTTAGTTAATTCTTTGTGACCGGACCAAGCATTGTTAATTAGTCGCCTCTTTATTTCATTCTCTCTCTCTCTCTCTCTCTCTCTCTCTCTCCGTATCTCTGTCTCGCTCTTTTGCCGAACGAAATAACAACAAAGTTGGACAAGAGGCAGCATCGAATGACAGCGACATAAATCCAACATGCATAGTTCTCGATCGAACAAAAGACAAACAACAACAACAACAACAACACGGAACAACATGAATAGAAAAACATCGCAACATTCCAATGGGTCAAGCAAAGCATAAGCCGTCTATCCAATTGGAATCAAAATACAACTGCAGGCAATGCTGCCCATTTTCTAAAAAAAAACAAGCAAAATCAATTGTCATCATAGAGTGAGAGAGAGGAAAGGGGTGGGAATGAGAGTGAGAGTGTGAGTGTGAGTGTGAGTGGGCTGAGGTGAGAAGTGCAATTGTCACATAGCGCARGCAGCTTTTGTCTGTCGGCCAACGCTGACATTTGCCGATTGCTATGCGCTGGCCGATGTCATTGACTCTTCGCCCGATTGTAAATTGTTTAAACTTTACAACAGCAATGATTGAACCCAATGAACTGCCCTGTCGCTGAGGTTAATTATGTTAAGTGACGCACATCTCATGTTTCTTACAATTCGTAAACAATTTTCGCGTGGCTTAGATTGACTTAGAGCTACAAATTTCCGGAACGAAACATGTGATACGAAAATCTGATGTACGATCGTACACTTAGTCACTGCAGATCTCTGGCTCTCTAGTTGATAATACATATAAGTATATTTACATATTTATTTTTCTATTTTTTTTTTTTGCCAGATAAAGATAAAACTGGCAATCTCGTTCGCAATCTGGAGCTAATCAGCTGGCTTATATAAGAGACTCGACTCCTATCGCCCACCAAATATACGTATTCATGCATATCTCTCTCTCACACACACACTCTCTCTCTCTCTCTGTCTCTCCTTATATCTCGTGCTGGACAACTTAAATGCTGGACAAACACGTCCTATAGCCCCTGGCCGACTATCAAGAATGTTTCGATATAAGAATTTTTTCTGAAATAGCTAAATGAACTGCCGATTCTGAGTGTTGTGTTATGACATGGTACCCACACACTCACACAGAGACAACGACACCGACACTGACACCGACACCTATTATCACATTGTGCAAATAATACGAATTTCGAGAGACAACAACAACAACAACAAAAACAATTAAATATACCTCATTAGGTGAACATCTCACATTGTGATCGTCCCGCCCGACCTTTCGCGTTTGTCGCAACATTTTTGCGCGATAAGTTGCAAAAATATTTGCTTAAGTGAAACAGAAAGTGCCGCAGACCGAATTCACTTCAAAAACGCGCCGATAATATATGTATATATATAGTATTTAAATGTGCATGTTATGCTCTGCAATATTTGACAATATATATTCAATATATGTACATATTTATTCATTATATACATGTCTGGTTATTCATATTCATTTATGGGAAACTTTTATCCAAAAGAATTTTGTACAAAACTTTTTCTACTCGAGAAATACCTCAATTTCACTTCTTATTTTCGCTTCCACTTAATTTCCACATTTAATTGTGGAATTCAAGAATTTTGTATTACATATTTGTACACATGTATATAAAGAGAGAGGGAGAGAGAGAGATTTCATAGATCAATCGTTGACTAAAATATTTTTCGAAATTAACTTAACAAATATCTTAAATTTCTCTTCTTTCTTAGCATTCCAACTAATTTACACTTTTGATTGTGGAATATATAGAACTTTTGTTTATCAATGTTTCACTTTTTGTGTCTCTCATTTATTTTCCATACTCACTTGTAGAACTAAATATATATATAGAACTTTGGTGTGTGATTTTCGAGCACAACTCAAAAAGAGATAAAATCAATTTCTCTTTTTGCATTCCACGCATTTTTACAATTACTTGTGGAATTAAAGATATCTATCTATGACTGAATTACTATTACTAAACTATCCGCCTAGAGCTCTTTGCTTAAAGCAGATTTCTTATCAAGTATTATTATGTTCTATTTTTATATTCTGCTTTTAATTCTTAGGCAAACAATTCGTAATCAAATTTAATATACAGTTACTGGCTTGGACTTTACAGATCAAGCAATCAGAAGAAAAATCTTAAATATATCTATTTTG